TAACGTGACAAAAGTCGCGTGCGATATGACGAATACACTTTTAAAATCACACTTGATTGGATAAAATCTTCTATGTATCCCGAACAGAGGGTCGATTTTATTCATAGCTAACAATAACATAAAACTCCTAGAGGACGCCATGTTACAACTGTACACTCCAACGAACTGTTGGAGTTTCATATTAAAAAATGTACTGAATCAATTTAATTTATTGAAGACGGCCATTCGGTAATCAAATGGACAAAATTAATCATTATATATTACTTGTCAGTGTGAAAGCTTGACGTGAATAGTATGATGTAATGTTTTGAAAATCCACTAAAATTAGATTTTATCTAGAATTCATAAAAGATATAATTTTCATACCTACATGTGAATTGAAGTCATGTATTGATGAATTTATTTATTTGTATATTAATTGGAATGTAATTGGGAAATAACTTTCATATAGTTATTTCCCTATGATATATTGGCTTTTTGTTATATGCCATTCCTCTCGATATCAATATTCTACGTAGTCACACTCGACTCTCATTTTGTGAATTCATTTTATATAATCATACACATTCAAAATATCCCTAGATTGCTTTCCAAGTCGAAGTATTGAAGTTTGCAATATTAGTACAGAAAAGTAAAAAACGTTTGTGAAAACCTGGAAGAAACATTTTTGAATCTGTTGTACTTTTGTTTAATAATTTTTGTCCCTTTTCACCGTTGAGGGCTTGTAAGAGGTTTCCTTTTGATCTTTTATTTCAGTATGAGAGATGTTGATCTTAAGCCCTCCGCTCTTGCCTAGTTCGAATTGAAGACCGATTGTAGATTTATCATGACATATTCTCTCCATCTATTGTACTCGATACAAAATTCTTTGTCAGCGGAATGTTGCTATTTCTTCTATATGAGATATCAAGTCTTGAGCAAGTAATCATTAGGTTTCCAAAAATGACCTGAGCCTTTATTTGGTTCTATTTCAAAATTTTGTGTTACTTAAATAAACATAGAAATTATTAACTGATTGTAAATTGTCACACGAACTAGTCTTCTTAGGATCTACAAAACATAATAGAAAAACTGTGTTAAAATACGATGAGAATATGACTGGATCTAAAATTCAAAGCAAAGACAGGCAATGTATATTGGACTTTTGATATAATTATAAAAAAATTAATTAAACAAATCAAACAAGAAAAAGAGTGTGTCTCTTTTCTGCGAGCCGAACATTAACACTGCGTGGCAGTTGTCTAGATGCTATAAAATATGGTTAATATCGAATAGAGAGATTTAAAAATTAAAATACACATGCGTGTTTCTCTTTCTCTCTCTCTCTGCATTTGTTTCTGTGTGCGTGCGTGCGTTTGTATGTGCTTTCGTGTGTATGTGCATTAGGGTGAGCCAAAAAAGACTAACCTATCGAATTTATGGGTTAAAATTAACCTAATTACCGAGAAAAAAATACTCCCGAAAGGTAGGATTTTTAGCTCAACTTTAAAAGGTGTCAGTGAACATTTAAAATTTTCCATTTAAATAACACTTAAAAACATCTTTTTTTCCCTAAAAGCACCATAACTTTTAAACCGTTTACGATAAAATTTTTTACATCGCAGATTCTTGTAGAGTACAAAATTTCCTAAAAAATCTATCTGAGGGAGATTTTTTTCAATTCAATATTTCGTATATTTGAAAGCCTTGAAAAGTGAAAAAAATTAAAATATGCAGTAACTGCAGTAAAATAAAATATGCAGTAACTGCATATTTTTATTTTTTTCGATCGATCCATAATCGATTCATTTAACTCTTAACAAAAATGAAGAGGCCTATACATGTTCATCACAATAAGTCCCTCGAGTTCCACATAGGCTATCTCCACAATCCACTCAGAAGAGCGGTCCACAATATCAATTTTTTCCTTAAATTTTAAATTATTACGACGGCGACTGTGGCGGACACTGTCGTCATGTTCTAAATCTACGTCAAGTTTCTTCCGACTCCAAACGTGTTTTCGGTATCTTCGATACTGTATCGACATAGTTTCTCTTCTATATGGAAGCAATATGGCTTCTTCTTCTAAAATAAAACGACGTGGCTTCTTTTTCTATAGTGAAATGATGCGGCTTCTTCTTTCTAAAATGAAACGACGTGGCTACCACTTCTATTTTGAAACGACGTGGCGACTTCTTCTATATCGAAACGCCGCTGTTTCTTCTATATTTGACGACGTAGTTGACGTGGGCCCCCTGCAGTAGATCCAGGTCGAAACTGACTAGAAAATGTAACGGACCAGGCGCACCGAATGGAACGCTTAACGACCCGTTTTTATTGTTTGCTAATCAGTTGACTCTTTGTAGGAGCGGTACCTCGCCAACGTAGGTCGTTGAAATGATACCTCTGAACACTATGTATATATAGAGGCGCAGAGTTTCACCTCCGATATCCAATAAGTATACGATGTACTATAGTAGACTAGACTAAATGCAGTACTGTGGTAGTTCAGTTTTGTTGCAGCATGTAGCTGCATTTTTATACTTTTTTCTATCTCTTTTATCTATTATCTATTAGATGGGTCAATTTTAGACCAACCGAATTAAGAACGCCCGGATTTGAAAAACTGTCCTCGATCGGAAGCGGCACCGTCGAGACAGCTATGCTATTTTTCGATATCGATTCCCGGCCGTGCCGTAGCGGTCGCCGCTATATGGCGACCATGAACGACTACCGTCAATGGTCGCCAATTCTACTATTACGAGAGCCGTCGATTTCTTGGTCTAAAAATATTTTGAAAATTAGAATTTCTGTGTTTGATGCATTTTGGAAGTAAAACTCATATAAACTCATATCTTTATTTACAATACTAAATCTACATGTACAAAAACCTTGCTATTATGTACATTACACTATAAAATTGTACCAAAAAATTGATGTTTCTTATTTATGAATTACGAGGTCGGAACTCGTCTATACAAACCGTACTGATTTAAATAAGATAATAAATATGTTCACGCCGTATGCACATTGGGATGTGCAAGGAAGTTTTCGTCGCGAATACAATTCATGGTATATTCAATACGATTGGCACAAGGCCTAAAACGATATTAAAATAAATCAACTCTCTATTATGTTTATAATTTTTTGCGTCCGTTTATACATTTATGTTTTATGTGGCAAACTTTGTCACAAATACGTTTTATGACACACTGATTGCAATTCTACCATTTTTTAAATGTATGCTTGTCCGTCTGTTTGTGTCTGTCTTTATGTGTCTTTATAACTTTATAACACTTTGAACAATCTTGATGGAAGTTGATGTACAGTAAAAACATGTAATTGGGTAAATGATAATATGTTTTCGATAAAGGGTCTATCTGTTTGTTTGTCAGAAATATTCTCTAAAATGGCTGAATAGATTTTATTCAAATTTTAAATAGAAGTAGACTACCTCCTGAAATAAAAAAAGGTTGCTTTTCATTTATTTATTTATAGTAATATATGAAACTGTGAATAAGATACTTTTTGTAATATTTTGTCTAAAATATTTATTCCATGACAAACCTATATATAATTATCATTTATAAAATTGCATTCCGATTGTACGTCTATAAAATGTCTGTTTATATGTTTTCCCGAGCTCTGAAAATGCTGAATTAATTTTTATTCAATTTTACTTGGGGTTATACTATCTTTAATAAGGGCCTATTTTGTTTGTTTTTCTGCGTGCCTTGGCCATTTATTCGATTACTATGAAATTGGCGATATGGCAGGGCGCGATTGTACATGAAAACGGGAAGGTTTCTAAGAAAAAAATGGCATTTATTTCAAATACGTAATTGTATTATTGAACCAAACTACCGAGCCTATTCCGAAAATTCGGTCACCAATAGGAAGCTCCCTGAGCAAAATACACTCATACAACATAATACAAACATACAACATTTTTCCTTGAATTCACCTGCATATTTGCGCTATTACAGATTCTATAAATTATTTCATTCATAAAAAACTACCCTATCCTCGAAATTTTATTTTGATACTAACATTTGCTCCGGTTTTTCCAAATCGGAACCGTGACCAGTAACGGAATCGAAATCTCAAGCGGAACGGGGACCAGAATCGAGAGTCGAGATGGGGAGGAATTTAAGTCGAGAACAGGACCAAGGTCAAAATCGAGTCCGAAACCAAAACATTAATCAAAAGCCTAGATAATTTTTAGTACTCGTTCCGAGTCCAGTGAGCATTATGGAAATAAGAATTCAGAGCGGCACCAGATTCGTAATCTACTAGATCGAGACCGGGTTTGGATCAGAAGCGAGAATGTGATCGCAATCGAGAGTCAGACAAAGTGCCATCGAGAGCAAGATCGTGGTCAGATCGAGAACGGGATAACGAGCAGCGGGATAACCAATTAACATTTTTTGACGAAACGTCATGTTCCGATTCTCTATGAACTGGTGATGATAATGATTCTATATTATTAAAACAGTGATGATTTGGCCTTACACATTGCCTTCTTAAACATTTGGAAAACTATACCTTCATCACCGATCATGATCGCAGTTTTGTGTCGGGTTTTTCTGGGACTCAGGGGACTCACTCTCCTGAATTCTTAATTTCATACTTCAATAAAGCTAAGAACTAATTCACCAATTTGCTGTTGGTGATATTTCAAATTATTTATCGAAAGTATAACGCTGCACCCTTTTTCTAGACTTATAAACGCAATTAGAATGCGTTATTCGATTTTTGACCACATAATTCAGTTATCTTTCAAAATTAATGTCGTAGCCAGAAGCTTTTTCCATATTAATGTTATAAGTAGTCTTTTACTTATTGCACAATATCATTTTTAAATATAATAACTATTATATTGTGTTCATTTTTTTATCTTGCAGAAGTGAGTTTTCCCTTAATTAATTAACCAGTAAAGAGTGAAATTCAACGGGAGCCATACCCAAACGCGTTATTGGACTTCACTCCTTAAGAATTGATCTTTTAACACCGCATCCAATGGTAGCGTGGCCGAACGGTCTAATGCGCTGGTTTGAGTCACCAATCTCTTCGGAGGTGTGGGTTCGGATCTCACCGTTGCCTGAGCTTTTTTTTTGACACGCTTTTATTAGCTTCACTTGTATGTTTGTTTATTTGTTTGCTTTTTTGCTTGTTTGTTTGTAACCTACTTCTTTGAACTCGATTTTGACCCACTTTGAACGGTCAGATTTTATTGAAACTTTGTAGACTTATCAAGGACCGGTGACAATACAATAATTTGATAAGTTTGTCTAATTGTCCTGGTCAGGGTCTTGGGATTAATTAATTTGGTTTGGTAATTCTATTTGGTATCGATGTAAATTCAATAAGTTCAAAATAGGGACTTACGAATAAACAGAATTAATATAAAATGGATACAAGGATTAATTCATACAATGTCATAATTTGATGTTGATAAAATATTTAGTTTCTGAAGATTTATTTTGAAATTTAAATGAATATAATTAAAATTTTGGATGTAGAAGTTAAGTAGAAAAGTTCATATTTTCAATCAACTCATCTATAAAAATGGTTCATGATAAAATAATATTTCATATTAAACTCTATTAAAACGTCAAAACTGAATTATTCTCAGAAATTAAGACCACGAACTTAAATCTTCTATTCGAAGAGAATTTTACATTCATCCGCCCTCTATCAAGGGTTTACAATACTATCGACTTCAATATCATTTTGAAAATTAACACCTGACCCTAACTCTCGTTCGGAAAGAATTTTCCATCCGTACACCCTCTGTCTCGTTATTTACGATACTAAAAAATGCGTCGGCCAACATTCTACAGAACTCGGAATACAATGTTTTTGACAATCGATCAAACTAAAAAGTATAAAATAAATGTACTTTAAAAACTAAAACACGCTTTAATCATCACATTGAACTAAAAGTGGAAAATAAATATAGTTTAAAAACTAAAACACGCTTTGATGATCATCGAACTAAAAACGAAAATGAATTCTACCTATGGGCAGAAAATGTAAGTGAACGAAAAAAATTAGTATGTGAAAAAAAGCGTGGGGTGCTGTGCTATATTTTTTCACTTATCAACACCCGCTTTTCACAATAATACTAATCTTTTTTCGTTCATTTATATTTTCTGTCTATATTAAGAATCATTTTTCGTTTTTTAGTTCGATGTGATCATCAAAGCGTGTTTTTTAGTTTTTTAAACTATATTTTTTCATTTAACTTAATAGAAATGTTTTTGATTAGCTATTATGATAATTTTTAAAAATAAATGTAAATAAACGCATCTCATAAGAGATTCATCTTCTGAAACATAAAATTCTGAAAGCATGCATGTATATCTTTTAATATTTTTCTTCTGATTTATAATTATCATTAGATGAATGTTAACTGACATAAGAAACTAAATAAATAGATGGTATCCAAATTACGTTTGCGTATCGTATTTTAATTACTACAAACCTCTTGTCACATTCATTAACAATAGCGAGATATATCATCTATATATCATCTTTCCTAAATATAATCAATTTTACCCGACCAGGGTACATACAGTAAATTTCATAAAAAACAACGTCGATTGTTGCTAAATGCATCAAAATCTATATATTCTTAATATAAATATTCTTAAGAGATATTGTTAGAGAAAAGCTTTTCTAAACGTGTGGTTTTACAATATTGTTTAAACTAATCGAAACTAAATGCGCAAATTCGCTTTTTTAAAAACGACATCAAAATGGGTGAGTTCGTTCAATACATATCACTAACGGTAAATTTGAAAAAAAGGGTTTTTCAACATAACGTGAAATTTTTTAGGGAATAATGTTTAGTACTCGGTAACTTTTTCTCCTCAGAAAATTATTGCGAAATTGTAAAGCAAATCAAAATCGAATTGTGTTCGAAAAATGTGGTAGTTAAAATATTTAAAAAATTGCGCTTTTTTAATTTCCCGCATTAAAAATTGCAGAATTTTCATAAATTAGCAAATACTATTTTCAATCCGATCAGTCAGATTTTGACGTTTTAGGTTCCTACGAATTTATTTCGAATGATGTCTGCTCTCTCTTTCCCCCATATCGATCTCTCTCTCTCTCTCTCTGTCTCTCTGTGTGTATGTGTGCGTGCGAGCGTCTATGTATGTGTTTATGTGTTGAAAGGATTTTTCATTACTCTCTCATATTTCCCTTCACATTTTCTTCATCGTCTTCTGATAAAGAAAGCTTCTGTAAAAGTCTTTGCAATCGGGATTTATCCGTTTTGTACATTGCTCCATTTATTTGAATTAGAGACAACAGCACGTAAGTTAGCTCATATGATAAAACGTTTTATTGTCTAGCTATATTTGGTGCTTTTTAAGTTCTGCAGATACATCTTCAGTATATTCCATTCACGCCATATCTTTTACGCAGTTTATTACTTGTGATCTATCAAATCTAGATTCTGTCCATCTTACGCGTCCAAATAATACAACCGATAGGTAAATTCCTGATAAACAGAATACCTGTTTTGCTGTAAGCTGTGTGTTTGTTGATAATGTGTTCCAAAGTTTGATCCACTGGTGTTCCCGAGAAAGGATTGTTTATTCTTTTCAAAACAGTCCATCATTTTTTGGTCTTTCCTTTAAATCGACGTGAATCTTTGGAAGGTTTAATAAATTCTAATAGTAAATAACCATCCATCTGGCAAAATTCTGATAATTCATGACAAAAAAAAATAAATGGTGTGGTTTTAAGAAACTACGATGAAAATGATTTTTTTCTTGTTGTAGTCATCAAATTGAAAATTTTCCGATAGTTATTCGACTTTTAATTTTAGCTTAATAAATAAAAAATGGGAACGACAATGGGAAAGCAATAGTAGACAAGATAATCAAATATAAATTTTAATTTCAGTCTGCGTATTAGGGAATACGTAATAAACAGGGAAACATTTAGATGATAGATACATGTTAAAAACTGAGAACAACAATAATTTAAATCATTAAATCATTTTGAATTTCAACTGCTCTATCCAATAACTTCATCTTCGCTTGTCCCATATTTTATAAATGAAACTAATATTTTATGATAACTAAAATGAGTAAACATCTAAGTCATAGATTGTATTGTTTCCATATATCTAGACGTAACCGCATCGACCGTCGTACCATAACTCGTGGTTGGGATATTTCTATCATTTTTCATTTCAAAGTGGAGGAACAGAGCCCCCTTTCTCAAATATTGAATTCACCAGATAAAATAATAGGCATTCGCGATTAAATTTTTCGATAACAGCAAATTTGTGCTGAAGACCCACTAACTGTATGGTTGTCCATCACGATCAAGTTAACAACAACATTTACATCAATACACAGATCAAAACCAACGAAATTTTTAAATATTTTTTTAGTAATATCTCATCAATCCCCATCCACACAGCTATCACTTTTTCGCCCTGATTATCAAGTTATTCAGACCCTCTGGTTTCCTCTACCATAACAAAGATAATAGCGAGAAATTTTAGAGATGACCTGCAGGGTCAACCATTTTGCAGATTTTTTTTATGCTCTGTTATGCTGGTTAGTATGATACTGTCGGATGTGCAAACGCATTTCCACAGCTATTTAAATAGCCGCGATCAAGGAAATGTAACAGATTTTCAGTTTCAACAAAAATTTCAGTACTTGACGTTGAGATTAATAATATGTATTGTTATACATTTCGAACACAATTTCAGTTTTGTACGTTTCAAATAATAAATTTATATTTAGCTATGACGCCATGGTCAATAAGAAAGTAGCTCCCTTTTTATTAGAAAGCAAATTACTGAAACTGACTTATTGGCAATGAGCACTCAAATTTTATTAACAGAAAATGAATGCGTACTAGAATAAATATAGTTCAAGGTTTACTTTACAAGGTTTATCCACGTATACTTTCGCTTACCAATATTACCTTTTGACACAATTGTAGTTACATGTTTAGATTAATACACAATTCTACCACGTATCCGATGGAAATTATTGATGATGAGTGCTATGTTGAAAATGACAAATTATATTCCATTAATCATACGTACTAGTCGCACTTAAGTAAAATTATCATAATTTTCTTGTGTCAATCATAAGGATATTTCTAAAACACAAAATTTTCTTATGATGACAAGCTGATAATGTCTAAGTGATATTACGTTTTTCAATACCTAACTTGAACGAGGTCAAAAGCTGTTAGTAAACATTCAGTATTGATTATAGTTTTGAAATAAATTCAAGGGAAGTTCGTTAAAGTTAAGGTCTTTTTCTTATATACCTTGAAAAAATACGGAATTATACATTGCCTTTCTTTGAATCATACGATGCAACCGAGAGCGTACAAAAAAAATTTGTGTTTATAAACGTTGGAGTGCCTTCTTCGATGTCCGAGTTATCAAGCGACGTTTCTCATCAATGCTTGATCATGGTGTTATTCGAATATCAAATGTGCACAACATGTTATTCAGGTGAAAAAGTTAAGTTTCCAAATAGTCTTATAATAGACACGTGCGATACAATTGCAGGACGAGACGAAAAGAAAATATACCATTTTCTTCTAAAGTGAACCGATGGAGAAAATTTTTCTTTCGTTTGAAACGGTCTATCTCCAGGGTGGTTTATAGTAGTCACGAAGTCAGGATCTAATAATAAAATCCAGTGAAAATCCAGGAAAACCCTCAAATATTATAGGCACATATAGTACGTTTTAGCTCTTTTTCAGTTGTTTCAGTTTTTACGTATGGTAGCTATCATATCATGCTGTTGAGTTAATAATGGAAGCCATGGCACTCCCTAACGTTTAGAAGTTGAACAATGATACTGTCATTTGTCGCCAGAAAGGCTCTTCAATGGCTGTCAGTAACACATAATATACACAGAATTATATGAATTACTTATTAATCTACCTACATATTTTCATTCATTTATATAATTCTAACATGATAGTCGTAGCAAGAATACATCAGAACATTTGGCAATAACAGTAGAAAAAGAGGGAATCGATTTAATGTGGAAATGAATAAAAATATAATCTGTACGAATTGTAGAGCTTTTGTATTATAAAAAATA